TCTGATGAGTTCGACCCACACTGTGCCCCAGCAGCGGGGCCTGAATACCTGAACACCTGAACGCCTCAAAGGAATGGGCCGAGCCACGTCTTCAGCTTATGACCGTTTCGTCGTTCCAAGCTGGGCTACAGGCAATCAGACCAACCCTATTCGCTCGCCTTTCTTTGATAGCTCGAGGGACCTTTTGGACGTGTCTCAGCTGGTATAAACTGTATCACATGGGAAGTATGTACATTTCACTCGCAGGGTCTTCCTAACTCAGTAATACTGAATACTTTAAGTCTTTGCTAGTCCTCTGCGAGGATCTTCATAATAATCTAACTTTCGCTACGGGTTCTGATGGACCTTTGAAAATGTCTGCGAGCAGCGTCCCTTTGGACAACAATATCGCCCAAGTCTGTCGGTTTAACAACAACTTAGCTAGACATATTTGAAACTGTCCACATTTTCAAGCCGACAACCATTAATGACAAGCGGTGTTTCCCCTGGACAGATTTGTAGTTGCAAAATAATTTTGATTTGGTGGGTTCGATGGATGAACCATCCGACTTGTCGATTTCGTCCAGCGTGTTATCCTGTAATCTGTGTTGTCAAGGTCAGTTCGTTGACTCCCGGTTGCGATTTTAACACGGTTACAACAGAGCCAAGTTCATCCAAAAGTTGTCAGCTGTGAGGTTAACCAGTACTGTGGACAGCATGCATCTTTGCTGAGAGCCTGACTATATATAAGGAGGTTTTTAGTGCTCGTCATCACCGAACACGTGAACACGGTCGGCGCGAGAGGAGGCTTTAATTACGCGTTGCAAGGACGCCGTGCCCCAATCGATCGCGGTCAAACAACCTGGCTAATGGACAGTCGTTCGCCGAGACGACTGGGGCGCACACCAACACGCACGCACGCGGGCACATGTGCACTCAGGGGGACTTGGTGCGTGCACCCAGCTCCTGTGAGTCAGAGTCTCGTTCGACATCGGCCTTCGCGACGGTCTACTAGACGGCACTTATAGGAGCACTATTGGAGCATGTCTTGTTTTGAAACACTAGCATCTGGCTGTTATTTTGCGAAACGCGTCCAATAAGGCATGAGCATGAAGCCACAAATATTGGATCACGCAGACTCCTTGACGAGTGTTTTCGTACTCACCAGAGCGCTGGGGTTTGAGCCCCATTCTGACAGTTTTCCTTTAATGACGCCTATAACCTGATCGAAATAAGAATTGTTAACAGTATTATCGGACCAATTACTCTTAAATGTGACTGCTTAACCAAATGCTCACAGGTGGGCATGATAACCTCAGTTTGCGCCGCTCAATCGAAGTAATCAGAGAGTTCGCAGAAGACAACATTAAATTGAGAAGTCGTTTGGAGATGGGAGAAAGGAAGCCCTCCATTCTTTGTGCTGTGATAATGACGCTTTTAAAACGACTGTGGGAGAGTGAATTGGCAGAGCTTTGCTATTGTGAATCCTGCAGGCTGAATAGACTGTCTTTTTTTTATACTCTGTCTAATCATTCGAAACAGACGCCCGTACCCAGTAGTTTCCTCAATTCATTTGGCCTAAATCCTAATGTAAGACCTGGAACTGACCAGAGCGCGAGTTTATACAATTCAAATTAATTTTTATTTCGCCAAAGCCAGACGATGCCCTAAAAGGTCTGCTGGGACAGCTTCTGAAGCGAATTCTTAACAATCTTATTGAAAGCATGTACATACAAGTTGTTGTGATAATAACTGCTTATGGGGTGTCATTTCCCGAACTGTTCATCTAACCTTTTTACAGCAGCAGACGTTACGTGTAGTGGGTGATTTTTACTCATCAGGCTGGCTCGCTTACGTAATTAATAGAACAGCTGTGCGATGCTTTGTTTTTCAGGCCTGAATACCCTTAGAGGCACTGAACAAGTTAGCGCAGATATTTTCGGATCATCTATGGCCAACGGTACATTTGGAAATGATACCCACCCTAATAATCTCTCCTTACCTATTCTTAGTAAAACGGAATCTTCTTCCAGTGGATTAATTTGCGACTACTGGGGGATAACATAGACGTTCCCACCTCTTTCATTCCTCTCAACTGCGCGCATTTCACGGCCCGGTGGAGGTCTACGATTCAGCCTCAAATCAGTAACTTTTTACTCGTTCTGGGGTCTGAAAACTGGATCATTCATAGACTTAAAGCAGTGCACCGACAGAAACAGCCCAGAGACAGCAATCTCAATCTCCTCGGTCCTGTTACAACTTCTCTTAACTATTAACTTGACACAAGGGCTACTGATGGTGACTCCAGCAAAACGCACGCGAATCGCAACCGCGTGGGTCTGAAAAGAGGTCGTAATTTTCCATTTCCACTGCAGTAAATACATTTTTGGATTAGAGGGTTGGTGGACGAAGGACTGCGTCGATGGTAGCCATAATTGTTGAATAATTCGTTTGCTCCCACTTGCTAGGTCTTAGCTATTTTAATTTCGTGCTCGCGGCAATCAATAACAGCTGACAAGTTATCCTTATCGCTTGTGAGATAAGAGGGATCGATCTCAGGGTGGTAGAGTGCAGTCACCTGACGTTTTCCATCTGCATTCGAATGCAGAATTGGGGATATTAGATAGGAAAGAAAATGCTTCTACGTGCTCTCCTTGCCGATATTCGGCTAGCACTTTCATCTGGCTGAGGCATCGGTGGACGGCTGTATAGTTTGAAACAGATTGACGCCGAATGTGGCGTCCAACCGTCAGGCTTAATTTGTCTCTCTAGTGATTGTGCTCTTTTCTCATCGACTTACTAATTGTTGCGTCTTATTAATGCGTATCACTTTCCAGCTTTACCTCACGCAGGGTTTGTGCCTTGCAGGACTGTCTTAGTACGGGGTTAGTGACTTCATATTTAAAACGTCAATTTATTGCAAATGCCATAGGACTTATCTTACATCCGTACGCGCGTGCTATCATAGTTTTCAGCAAGTATGCTTATATTTGTCGTGCTTCAATATGCAAGAGAGAAAATACCGACGGTCGGACGTGGGTTGGATGGCTTCAATACATGTGTCACGACTTCAAGATATAGCACTCAAAAGACTTGGTGGAAGTCTGGGTCTAGTCCATGTCGACAGCATTAACGCACTATTTATTACCAGCCGCCATGCCACCATTTGCGTGTGCTCTAGGGCAAAGCATCCAAGGCGAGATGGAGGTGGCCATTCCGTTATGCAATCAGGACAGAGCGGTGTGCGCCGCTCCCAAACAACTTCTCAAAAGCTAACCTTCAGCTAGTCCCAGCGATAAATACGGATGGGGTGGCTATTCACATAAGTTAACAGTTTGTATTTCATGCCAAGTCGGTGCCTTGAGGCGGATCACGTGACCGGATACTCTCTGGAGCACAAATGAGGGAAGCTGCTGCCTGTAAACACCCATCAGTCATAAACAGGGCGCAGTAGTCGAACGAGAGATGGGAAGTGACTGACTACTACTAAAGGCCGTTGAAAAGAAGTCACACAACCAAATTATAGTCGTGAAGGTTCGATTCAAGTTAACGTAGTTTGGTCAGTTTACTTCGCCGATAGTGGTGTCGCTCTACATGGCAGTTGGATTAAAAGTCGGTATTCTCCACTCTTTTATTTCGATTTCATTTTTATCGCCTCAAATGGCATTACATACAGCAGGTAAACAGGAAACGTTGGGTATTCTAAGGTGTCGCCAGTTTAAACCACAATTTACGATAATTCATTTTACTAGCCTCATTACAAAACGATTCTGCGTCCGATTTGCGTTTTCTAACAAGATAGGGGACTTAGCAAACAGTCGATGTAGTAAGGAACGTGTATTTGATGCTGCATTTTTCCCTCTACAGATGACAATCTGAAGTGGGAAGAATTCTAAACGGCCCCATCGCAGAGACCCCCAGATTACGTCAACTGGGTACAGACACTAAGTATAAGCCAGCCTCTGACAGTTCGACCGTCGCATCCGACGATGTCCACCGTGTGCTCCTCAGCAAGATGAAGCAGGCACGGTGAATTACGCCTGATTTAATTTATAGTGAATGTAGACCTACACGGCAGCTCCCGCACTCTCTCTTCCCCCACCCGGACTCGGTGTCAAGACAGAGTCAAGAGGACCGGGGCGGTGGAGGGCGCAGGTGGATGTCACGGTCGAGCCCGCACCTTGACTCTGCACTCCCCACCCCCTGGTCCACACACCAAATGAGCAGGATTTTAACCAGCAGCCAAGGAGGCTGGTGCGGCCGAAGTCGCACCAAGGCGTGCCGTGACACCTGGCTCGGATCCCACGGAGTGGGAGTGCTATGAAGGCCACAATGAGAAGCAGCCATTGCGGCCAGACTCTTAGACCACTAGTCGGCTGCTCTGCACAAAAACACAACACTGAGCCAACTGAGCGAGGTCCTAGTTACCCCGCCAGTTGACAACCTTCCAAGCCACTGCTTCTATCGCAGCGTAATAGCTTCCAGCGCTGAGTCGTCAACCTCACTCTCCCTTCCTATTCCCAGGCCCTTGCCGCTGTCCGAGCCGGTCATTTGACAGGTGCGGGGAATGGACGTGATGGTTGACATAATTAGTGACCTTGTCCGCGCTCGCAACATGCACTATATGGCTCCCCAAACACGAACACCAGGATTTTACACGAGGGGGATTGTGTGGCATATATCTTACATGCGTGAGAGTGCCGTAGGTCACGCTAAGAAGGAGCCGTCTCAGGCCGGATCTCAGCCCACCGGTCCGCACTCCGCACATACACACAACTAGGCAGACTGCGTGAATTGAGCCGGGGCTTCAGTCAGCAGCTTTCCAAACCATGGCGCTTGACGCACTGTGATAGTCCCACACTCGAATCATACATGCATCAGAGGGGCCGCATGGAGACGGAGCCGAGACGCCCACTTCCCACCTGCGTGGAAGGTGGCAATTGGATGTTTGTGGTGGATGATGTTGTGTGATGCAGGTGTTGATACTACTTGCACTTGATACGGCTGCGATCATGCCTGATCTAGCCGGCCTCGATGATGTCCCGAACTGTACCTCTCCACGCGTGACGATCCGCGGCAGCAGATCTAGACAGCTCAACCCATTCCCTTCGCCAACGACGGAGACCGAATACCGAAGGTCCAAGAACCACCTCCATGTCTTGACGGACAGTGTCAAGCCAGGTTTTGAACTGACCCCCTCTTCGACGCCTCCAATGGGGCAACGGTGCCGGATCGAGGGCAGTAACACTGAGCTCCTCAGGTGGACGACGAAGAACATGCCCGAACCACCTCAGTCTTCTTTCTTGTATGGCCTGAGTTATCCTCGCGATGTTATCGCGGCGAGCGCGGACTATCTCATTTGAGACGAAGTCGGTTAACTTCACTCGAAGGATGATCCTCAAGCAGTGGTGGTCAAATACCTCCAGTTTTCGCTCATCCTCCACGCGCGAAGCCCAGCATTCACAACCGTAGAGAAGGACAGACCGGACAGATGCACGGTACACGCGAATCTTAGTGGCGATGGAAAGGTCACGTCGGTTCCACAGGCATTTCCGAAGGCTTGAAAAAACCCAGCGGGCAGCATCGATTCGGGAGACAATGTCGTCCTTACTCTGTCCATTAGTCAGCAGCCTCGCCCCGAGGTATTTAAAACTGTCCACTTCTTCAAGTTGACAGCCATCAATCCCCAGGGGTGCCTCCTCCTGGTCAGGGATGCAGCTTGAGAATACTTTGGTCTTCCCAGCGTTTATGGACAAACCGACTGATTTAGCTACCTCGTTCACTCGTGACACCATAGACTGCAGATCACCAAAACTTGAAGCAAGTTAGGCGATATCATCGGCATAGTCGAGATCAGTCAGTCGATGTCCGGGTGCAAATTCAACGCCGTCACTGTCGCGTAGGGCCCTCCCGAGGATCCAGTCAATAGCGTAGTTGAACAGTATGGGTGACAGGATACAACCCTGTCGGACGCCAGACCGAATACCGAACGGTTGGGAAAGATTGTTACGGACCAGGACTCTCGCAGTAGTGGAGCGATAGTAGGCCTTGATCATGGCGATGATTTTTGCCGGTACACCATCTAGCGCCATTATCCGCCACAGGGACTCACGGTGAACGGAATCGAACGCGGCGGCAAAGTCAACGAAGCAGACGGCCGTCGGTTGTTGGTAGCTATGGCGAAATTCGAGAATGCGCCTCAGTGTGAATATCTGATCTGCGCATCCACGTCCAGCACGAAATCCGGCTTGGTTGGGCCTCGTCCTTGAGTCACGCACAGCCTGGAATCGCCTGAGTAGGACAATAGCGAAGATCTTCGCAGCAACGTCGATGAGACTTATGCCGCGGTAGTTCTCGCATCTCGTCTTATCTCCCTTCTTGAGGATAGGTACAAGGATGCCTAAGCCCCAGTCATCAGGAACAACCTCGTCTCTCCACGCTCGTTCAATCACCTCATGGAGCCAGGGCGCCAGAGTGTCGACACAAGACTTGAAGATTTCAGCGGGTATACCGTCCTCCCCGGGTGCCTTATTGTTGCGCAACCTTCGTATGGCATCGGCGACTTCTTCCTCGGAGGGGGAATCGCATGGCACTGCATAGGTAGGAGAGGGAAGAAACTCCGCTGAGGAGAGCAAGGGCGATGTAGGTTGGGTATCGAAGTTGAGATGATACTCAAAGTGCTCACGCCAGCGCTCGACTTTGGCCGGGTTGTCAGCAATAAAGCCGCCGTTAACATCGCGAACAGTCACTCACTGTAGAGAGCTTATCGCTAACTTGGCGGATCAGACGGTAGAGCTTTCGAGTGTCACCAACGTTCGAGGCCTGTTCCATGGATGTCGCTATTTCAGCCCAATATTGCTTCCGGTCATCCCTGTCCGATTTTGCCGTCATCTTTCGAAGTTGGCGGAAGTAGTCATCGTTGCGGGACCTGGCTCTAGCCGTTTGAGCAGACAACTGCAGGGTTCTTCCGCTGATCCAGTCACTGCGGCGTCGCTGGGTGTATCCAAGGATTTTCTCAGCTGCCCCATAGACTGATCTCTTCAGTGACGACCACTGGTTACTGACTTCTCCGTCGGCTCGGGCCGTAAAACAGGTCCGGATTTCTCTGCTTAGGGCCTCGGCAGTGCTGGCTTGCCGGATTTTTGCGACATTGAGGCGTCTAGGACGTGGCATTTTTGGTGCGCATGAGAGATGAACTTTCAGGCGTGTACGGACGAGGACATGGTCCGACCAATGGGCGTTACCAGTCTCGGCACCACGCATCGATCTGCTATCGTTAACCCAGCTGCGGAACCTTGAGCTTACTAGTATGTAGTCAGTCTGACTGGCCGTACGACCGTCGTTTGAATACCAGGTCAGCAGATGTTTTTTTGCGATGCTGGAAACATGTGTTGGTGACAAGCAGTCGGTTTCGATCTGCGAAGTTCAGCAATCTCTCACCATTTTCACATCGGAACCAAGCCCAAAGCGGCCAAGAAGATGACTGGTTGTGGGGTCGCCAGGTCCAGTTCGACCATTCCAATCGCCAGCAACAATCAGCAGATCGCGGCGAGGCAGTCTTTCAACTAGCGCTTGCAACTGAGAGTAAAACGCCTCTTTATCGCGCTGTTCGGCAGCCGAAGTTGGTGCGTACACTGCGACGATGGAGATGTTCGTGAAGTGACCCTTCAGTCGCACGTAGGCCATCTGGTCATTGACTGGTTCCCAAGCAAGTAGCGCGAGGTCCGCTTGTTGTGATTGGGCGATCGCCACACCGTGTCGACCTGAGGAATCGCGGGGGCCGCTGTGGTACAGGGTGAAGTGTGATTCGACTCTCGGGATCTTTATTTCACGGGAGCCTGAGTCAGGGAGTCGTACCTCCGACAGACAGCAGACATCAACGTTGTACTAATGAAGGCTGCGTGCGGTCAGACTTTGGGTACCAGGGTCCAGGAACGTTCGTACATTCCAGCATCCAATACCGAGAGTCCGTCCACGATTGAGTAGTCGAGTTCGCATACTATTCGCCTGCATCACTGGACCAGGGTTGCGGAGCGCGTCGGTTCCCGCGGACGCCGCAGCATGATCGTAGTACTGTGATCGGACATGTTTCATGAGGTTTCTTGGGAATTTCGAATACGGGCGGGTCCCCAACAGCCGCTCGGAGGTGTTGATGGGGGTAAAGGGGATGGTGTGGCCTAGGCGGCGGTTGTCTACCGCAGGTTTTCGTGAGTGCGCATGTGGCCTAGAAGGCCCATGCGGTAGGTGAATGTGCGGGTGCACTGATGGCAGCTGAGGTGGATGCGGGGAGTGTATGTGGGTGATCCAGGCACTGGTTCACCAGTCTCTATGCGATGGATTCGCAAGTGAGCGGCCAGACCGATGGTTGAGGTGAATGTCCGGGGACGATGGGTAAAGGGACTTTCGGCGGTGTTAGTGTCGGTTTCGAAGATGCTAACAGTGGTAGAACTGCTGATGGTGAACGAGCTGGGCGACGAGGTGTGTGTGTTGAGTTAGGCATGATGCGTGTGCAGGATGTGGTGAGTGTGGTGGGGCTGATGGCGGTTGGTGTGCTGGACGGCGGCGTGCGTTGAGCTAGAGGTGGTGGGTGTGCAAAAGGTGCTAGGTGTGGCGAGACAGCGATCATTTCCGCTCTCGTGGAAACATATGTGACCTAATAGGCCCATGCGGCGAGAGAATGTGCGAAGGCAGTGTTGACAGTGGAGGTGAGTGCGAAGAGTGTAGGTTGGTGCTCCAGAGACCGGCTCGCTAGTCTCTGTGCGATAGATTCGCATATGACCGACCAGGCTGATGTGTGAGACGAAGGTACATTGGCACTGAGGACAGGTATGGGCCGGGTCCACATCACTGATGAGGTTGATGTTTGTGCGTGTGTTATGTGTAGTGGCGGTTGGTACAGGAGCAGCAGTAACG